ATATATATATATAATATATATATATATATATATATATATATATATATCAAGGTATAATGTATGTGTGCTTGAATAGATTAGAAATATTTTAAATTTTCCGTCTATACCAGACATTAAACCTACGGGAGACCCAGATTACAACAATCCTACATGTGATGAGATATTCAATACACTATTACCTGCAAACGTCACTTTGCACCATGGAATCAGACAGCTGTATGATATTTAAACTAAACCACGACCCCACATTACCCTTACTACAAGGCTGCATGTAAACCTAACCCCCAACCCGAAACACTGAAGTCCTGGCATTAAACCTACCTTCTCCAACACTCTTAGCAGTAAACCGTAACTATTATATGCTTCATGGGCCTCAGGACGAATTTTAATGGCCTTCTTAAAGGCCTTGATCGCCTCAGACACAACCTCGGGTTGACCCATGCCCATAAGCGCGAGACCTTTGTTGTTGAAAGCATCGTAGTGTTTGCCGTCTAATTCGATAACCTGTTCACGAATAATGTAGTAGACTTGAGGCCAGGATCTGACTTTGAACCATCTATTCAAACATCAATGCATACCTCGAATGTATTGGGGGTTTCTCGATAAACCGGTGTGTGTAGTTGTATTATTTACAGCAAAAAATATGCATTGTGAGCTTTGCGAAACGCAAAACAAACGCTGCAAGATCATCAAGCTATGGCGCACGTGTTGAAATGCCAGACTTTAACTCCCTAAAACTAATATCTACTTGCAGACCCAATTGAAGCAGGCTACAAACAAAAAACTAACATCCCACGACCTAGTTATGGATGCCTACGTCTGACTCGCACAGACATAGCCAACCGAGTCCCTCGACACGAACATGCACACACAGAGTACTACATGGATAGTACGATACATTGACAACTATACACGGCATGCAAACATTATTATGTACCAACATGCTATACTAATCAACGACGCACTTAAACAACATAGACAAACGTGTACTTAACATACACACAGCCATATAATCATTATGTACGAGCATGCTATACTAATCAACGACGCACTTAAACAACATAGACAAACGTATATATAACATGCACGCAGCCATACAATCATTCTGTACGAGCATGCCATACAAATCAACGACGCGCTTATACTTATCATAGAAACGTATACTGTACATACACCCACCATATCGTCATCACTACAAACAACAGACAAACACTATAACAGTACTGGACGACCTCCTGGTGCATGCACTGCTGTGCCACAGCCTGGCCCGTCTCGTTATAGCACACTGCGTTCGTTGACATGTAAGCACACACGCACGGTATATTGCATATTCTTGTACGTTGTGGTATGTTGTGGTAAGACAGATGCTATACATAGCATATATACCGTTCCATCACACACCATAGCTACTAAGCTCACACCCACACCACACACCTTATCGTAGTACTGGACAGCCTTGTGGTGCATATTCTGCTGAGCTGCAGCCTGGCCGGCATGGAAGTAGCCTACCGTGTCGGTGGGGGCTATACGGATAGCCTTCTCGAGCATTTCGTTGGCCTTTTCCACCTCCTGGTTGAAGTACAGTGCATTTGCCCACTTCACATACGACTGGGCAGATTCGGGTTCGAGCGCGATCCCTTTCTCGAAGGACACAAGCGCGTTGGGAATGTCTCCGGAGAGGTGCAGCAGCATGCCTGGAGGTGCGAGCGAAACGGAGGCGTGTGGCACTGTAAGCAAACAAAGCAGTATGGGCAGATACACGGTATGCACATCTACACACAGCAGTACCTCGATTGGATTGATGACCGTCGGTGCCTTTATGACGTGTAAATCCACCCGTATTCATAATAAAGACACGAGTTCGGGTGCGATCTCTTTGTTAAAGATATGGGCAGATGGAAATGTATCCCGAGACATGCCAACACGTTCCAATACGTGCCAGAGAGTTTAAGCGAGAGGTGTATGAGAGTTCACAATTGATGTCCCAAGGACCGAGAATCGGGACTGGTCGGGCGAATGGGTAATTGACAATATATGATCCAAACTATCGGTGTCGGGCTTTAAAGTATCAGAAGAAGAATCTACATTCAACACAGCAACACCGGTGCTATAGCAAAGAACAACGCAATACATGTGCTATAACGGGGACGTCTTGTGGTTGCAATCTCTGGCAAAAAAAAATTACGCCAAGCGCTTTGCGGTCATCACCCTGTGTCCAAGCCGGCATATTAATTGCTATCGTTGATCCACGTATTCTGCCACACTCATACAATCAATTGATTCTAGCCACACACGACCCATACCTAAACGGTTAAGAGACCCTAGCCATATGCAACCCACACCCATACGATTACCTGACCATAGCCACATATACAACCATTGCTTCTATAGTCAATCAATCATAGCTATATACGACCCATGCGTGTTCACTCATTGCATTATAGCCACATACTACTAATGTCCATGCTATCAATTAATAGTAGCCATATACTACTAATGTCCATGCGATCAATACTTCATAGCCACACGCGAGACATGTCCATACGATTAAGGGACCACAGCCACATACAGCCCATACCCATACGATCAATTGACCAGAGCCACATACACCCAGCCCTTGCAGAACCAATCAACCATAGTCACAAACTACTAATGTCCCGCAGCCACATACGACCGACACTCATACAAACATGATTAGCTCAAGCTATGACTCACTCTTAAAGTCTTGTATACACTTCTTCCCCTGGCACCATATGTCTACCGAATACACTCTGCGTGAAGTAGGGTGTGGGGTTTACTGTTTACGATTTTGTACATACCCTCCTCAATGTATGCCTTGGCGCACTTATCGTCTGATGAGATAGCCTTTTTGAACATCTGTAGACCTTTCCTGTACTGGCTATCCTGGACGTACTTGACTCCCAGAATAAAATACTCCTCTGTTGTTGCATTCTCTTGCGTCGCTGTGGCACATCAAGGCAATAATAGTGTGTGAATATGGAGCTTCAACGCGTAAGCGTATGCAACATATATCACATCTCGAACACATGGACCTTTCCCATGTTGAACGTTGGTATATAACAAGATGAATGTGATACGAAAAAAGTTAGAAGGATATGATACAGGAGCCTATACCCCGGTCAGTACTTGTTGGTGCCAGTAAGGGGTTTGTCGGAAGGAATCAACCGCTCACACTCCCAGAAGCTACACAGATGAGAACAAATGCCGCACACTATGCATATACAGGGCCGGATGATACAGAAGAATCCAGCACACATAGCTCTGACAATGTTCAGTCTCGAAAAGTTTTTAAAGGAATGAACCGACAATCGTAAAAGTCCAGGAGACCGTACTACGCACCTAACAAATACAATGAAATGGCGAACATATTTTGAAAATGGAACATCAACTTTCATAGTTTCCTGTCCAGGTCATTTCAAACAAGGAATAAACAGCTTCATACCGGCTTCTAGTTCGCTCAAAGTCTTTGCGATCTCTGGCTGGGTAAAGGTGTTGAGGTATGTCTTTACAATGCTGGCCGACGGGAACATTCCCTTCTTCTCCTCCATCTTCGCCTTGGCTTTCTTGAGAGCGATCTTATGTAACGTACAGTTAATAATAGTGTATGAGCATACTATAAATATTTAATTGAATATACATGTATAAAATGTAGAAATACGCGCACGCGAATA